GCGACATAAAAACACACGCACCATCGGCTTCTGGGGTCGCTTTTTGTGCAGGTGGCCATATTTGCCGCTGGGTCCCGGCGACACCTGACCGGGCGGGGAGGGCAGCTCGCGGCCCGATGACAGCCCGGATTATGATGCGCTGAGGGAATTCTCCTCTCGGGTGTTTTAAGGCGTCGCGCCGATGAAAACTCTTAACATAATTCGCATGAACTTGGTGTCAGATTAGCAATGCAAATGCCTCTACCAGGTGAAACTTCATCGCTTGCTGAGATGATAAATATTTATGTTTTTAAAGTCACCGCGCGAAAAGGGAAACCAAGACGAGGAAGAGAACAGGAATGCAGTGAGCTTGGAGCGGGGGTTGCATCCTGCAATCATTAATCGGCGATAAACATTTCTCGGACACGCCAGCCATCGAGAAGAGGCAGAGAGAGAAAGAAAACAAGAGGAAAAAGAAAAGGAAGATGCGTGCTAAGCCCCCTGGGTGGCCCTCCGCTAATGGTTGCTTACGCTCTTGCACAGGTGAAAGATGGATCACAATAGTCTAAGACACTGTGCCGTAAGACCCTGAGGAATGTCCAGATAATGAAATTCCTCCCCGGCATTTGTAGGATCAGATTACGGGGCGCGCGGGATGCAGAACGGACTCTGCTCCTTCCACGCCGTTTGGAGCGCCCCTCTGGCAAGCCCGCCTCCGCAACATGGTGAATTTGACTGATGAATTTGGCGGATGAAACCGACTGAAGACCTCCTGAATTTCCACTTCCGGCCGATGCAAAACCCACCAAGATTTTCAACGGCGATCCCGAAGAACCTGACGCATTTCGGTGGCTCTGAGGACCTCCCTCCTCCTGGCCTTCAAAAGCCGATCGACCAAGAGATCCACTTGCTGCATTGCCATCAATTCCCCAAACCACGATGAACAAGGGAATCGAATCCCCTTTGACGAAGAAATTCCCGTCAGATGATCCAAGCTCCCCCAACAGCGCGAAACGGACGACCTTAAACGACGGGTTGAATTAATGGGTCTCGGGTTCAAGAAGAAGTTCACGAAAAAAGGTCCGTCGGGGAATCTCAGAACGGATAATAGGCCGAGCAAGGAATGTTGGCGGAGGGAAAGGTCGGCGAGGAAGGAGAGAGAGAGAGAGAGATAGAGGAAGAGAAAGAGAGGGGAGAGAGAGAGAGAAAGAGGCGGCGGCGGCAACATTTTCTCTCAATAGTTCACTGCGAAGTCGCGGAGGAGCTTATGGTCCGGAGAGGAATGTTGAAGGAGCACGGGCGGCGAAGGAGGATGCCGAAGGATGTGAGAGAGCGCGGAGGAATGCGGAGGAGAGGATGGCTGGGGAGGACGCGAAGGAGGGATCTTGAGGTCTGAAAAAAAGGTCGTCAAAGGATGGTTGAAGTGTCGTACTTGGTGTTCTTTGGTTTGGTAGGCGGGTCTTGTATGGGGAAAATGATCTCTCTCTCTCTCTCTCTCTCTCTCTCTCTCTCTCTCTCTCTCTCTCTCTCTGCTATCTCTCTCTCTATTCAGATCTCACATATATGTGGCATATACCAATATATAATATATATATAATTTAATTATTAATATATATATATATATATTATAATAATCATTATATATATATATATATGTGGTATTAAAATGTATTATATATTTAAATATACTATATTAAATTTATATATAAAATATAAATATATATATGTGTGTTAATATATAAATTATACTATATATATATAATATCTAATATATACATATGTGGTATTAATATATTTAAATATATATATAAATTTATATAATAAATCTATATCATGTATATATATAATATTATATTATATATATAATATATATATATACATATATATTTATTTAAGATATATATGTGTATATTTATGTATAAATTATATATATATTAGTATAGTATATATATATAATAGGATATATATATTATATAATATATTAAAATTTAATATTATATGTATATTATATATATGTATATATATATATATATATATATATATTATATATATAGAATGTACTATATATATATGTATATATTATACTGTATATTATATTATATATATATAGTATATAATTATATAAAGTAATACTATCTTTATTATAATATATATAATGTGATACTATATATATTTATAGTATATAGATATTATGTATTAAAATTATATATAATATATATATATAATATATATATATATATATATACAATATAAGTTATATAAATTCTATATGTAATATATTAGCCTATAACTTATATATATGTTAGATATACTATATATATATATATATTATATATTATAATATTGTTATATATATATTAATACTATATATATATTATATGTAGATACAATATTATATATATATATATATATATATATATCATATTATACATATATTATCTTATACATTTATACTATGAATATACTATATTATATATAATATATATATATATAATATATTATATATATATATATATATATT